TATACATTACAAAAATATTTTTAAAATGTGCGCTCGGTAGGCGTCGGACAATTCATAAAATAATACTTTTTAAAAATCAAACGGTTTAGCCGCAAGCTTCCGTGCCGTATAGCGTGAATAACCCTGTATATGTACATTAATAATTCACTAACTTTTAATTTGAAGTGAAAATGCGAGGCACAGTTTGTCAAACTGGGATCACCGACTATTTGAATAGAATCATCAATTATTACAAAAAATTAAACAAAGATTAGGGCTCAAATGCTCATTTTGTTGAAATTTTTTGTATGATTTTTTAGTTCTTTTTTGGACAAGTGTAATATTTCTTTGTATCAAAAAACAGCAGCAAACGGAAACAGTGGTCTCATTTTTGACCGATCACCTAAACATAGAAAGCAACATCTATCACCAACTAAACGATGTTGACATTCTAGTTGATATTAACATTTCAGGTAAATTTAATTTTTACGTATTAGTTTGTCAAAATGACTCATATGATATCAGTTTATATTGAAAGTGGAAAAAACGAAGAAATGGCACAAAATTTATATTTTGTTTGATATCCGGAAAGAGGGCAATTATTAAGGATAGCCCGCCTACAGAAATGTATTTTAAAAATCTGCGGCTCTTTTGTTTGTCTGTTTCAGTTTAAATTTTAATAACGGATTATTTATTTTATTTGCATTATTATAGGAAAAATCAGTTTTGTTAGAGATGGTTATTGTTGAGTTCGACTAGTTTTAGGACGCTCTTTTAGCAGTAAAAGTGAATTCCAGTATTTCAGTGAACCTACTGACTATGAACTAAGAATATCTTTCTCTGTAAATATAGTTTGGTCACAATTCTAATCTAATATTTTAATTAATCATTAATTATATTTATTGCGTTTTCCAGATGAACCAGGTGCCGTTGATCAAAATAAAAATCGGCCTGCACAGCATATGCGAAAGGTGCAAAAAGTTGAAAGAGTTCCGAAACAGAAGGAACGAATAGAAAATAATACAGTGGTAATTGGAATGATAGGCACCAATGTGATACTGGAATGCAATGTGGGATTAAATAACGTTACGGTAATTCCCAAGATGTGTGAAGTCCATCAACTATTTTCATTATCCAAATATTCGGGAAAAAAAAATTATTCGACAAAATGAATAGATATTTTCAAACTTCCACGTTAAGAAATTATTCAAGTTAAAGAGAAACGATAGGTATTTACAAATACATTTACAAAATACATCTTTCAAAATAAATTTTGACCTATTAAAATGTGAAGCAGTATATGCTGCTAAGACACTTAATGATGGTCACAATTATTATTCATTAAGGGATAAAACGTTTTTAGACCCGTTAGATCGAAAATCCTATGGATGCGTTCGAAGTTTCTGTACCCAATGGATATTCAATGTAGCCATACTTTTTTTCCAAATGCTTTAAAACACTGTCGCTTTAGTTCAGTAGCTTGACAGGTAGTCCAGTAGCTTGACTCCTCACAAAACATATGGAAAAATTGAATATCTAGTTATTTTTTAATTATTTCTCTCAAAGGTTGAGTTAGGGCAATTTTTGAGAAAATCGTTCTAAGTTTACTGTCAGACAATTCCACCTGTAGAACACTTTTAGGTGCTTTGGGTCAAAAATGAAATGCGTGGAAACCTGAGTACTTTTACGGTGTTAACGGAAAACACCAACACCCTTGTGGACGACAAACGATTTCTAACGGTGAATCACAATAATTCCAGAGTAAGTGTGTACTAGATAAATTATTTATTATTATTTATAAATTATTATTGGAATTGGATTGCATATTACATAGCACTAAATGTTTATGTATTGATTCTATTTAATAATAGACTTTGTCAAATACCTAACTTTTTAAGTAGGTACTTGCTTTGAAGATAGTTCAACTAAAATATATACTGGAAAAGCTGCCCAAAATTCCGGCAAAAATTTGCTGCAAGAATTACTTTCTATTCGCGTACTAAGATCTGTTATTGTGGATAGTACTTGAGCATCTTCAAAGTATTCCACAAGATAAGAATTAACACATCAATTAATCAATTTTCAGATCTGGAGCTTACATGTAAGATTTGCTAAAGTATCCGATGCAGGTCAATATGAGTGTCAGGTCTGTACTCCGCCTACTTTCAGCATATTTGTTCGCCTGGAGTTATTTGGTAAGAATTAGTGTCTCAAATTAAGCTGAAAACATCGAAAAGAGAAAATGTTGAACAAATCCTTGTCGTACACAAAGCAACCACTCGTCAGGGTATCTAATTACATAAAGACATGCAGATAACTTATAGAATATTTTAGTTCTCGTCTCTTTCATGCTCTACATCGGTATAAAACACTTGCATGTTGCCGCAAAATTCGAAACTCGCAAACTCAAAAGTATGGTAATGCTATGTCATTCATTAAGCCTGGAAACTTTAGAAGCATATAGTTATATGTACTTGAATATTCTGAATCAAGTGGAAGTTTGGGAACTTGTACGCTGTAATAGCAACCGACGTACTTATTTCTTAAAACTAATTATCCAAAAGCACATAGCACATGTTTGGTATTAAACAGGTAACTTCTAAATTAAGCTTAGAAGTAGTGCGTTTGTTAACTGAACGTATACTTAGGTTTGTAGAATATTTTCTCCGCATTGGATGAACTCATACAATTCATGTTTTGCCTTGAAAATCAGAGAATAATGTAGGGAACATATTT